ACTTGACCTCCCGCCGCTCGCCCAGGACCGCTGCCCAGGCCGCAGCTCCGGGCCCTGTGGACTGGGGCCGTGACTCCGGGCCGCGATGCCGTCCTGCGCTGCGAGGCCCAGGTGCCCGACGTCTCCTTCCTGCTGCTGCGCGCGGGCGAAGAGGAGCCCTCGGCGGTGACCTGGTCCACCCACCGCTCCGCGGACCTGGTGCTGACCTACGTGGGGCCCCAGCACGCCGGCACGTACAGCTGCCGCTACCGCACCGACGGGCCCCGCTCCTTGCTGTCGGAGCTCAGCGACCCGGTGGAGCTCCGGGTGGCAGGTGAATTGAAGACCCAGGAGTAAGGGGTTGCGGTCCAGGCCTTTGCCCCGATGGTACCCTCCTCCAGGGATGCGCTTTCATGCGCCCCTCCAGCTCTGACACTGGCTGGTGGGCCTAGACTACTGGGGTGTGTGTGTGTGTGTGTGTGTGTGTGTGTGTACGCGCGCACACACCTAGACTGCTGGGGGGGTGTGTGTCGGGGGACTGCAAGGCAGGGCGGGGCGTGGTCACGAGCAACTATAGGGGCGGTGGGGGCGTGTTTCCTCGCGGGCAGCTTACCAGTCCCCGCCCTGACTCACCCGAGAGGACGCAGGGAGCCTCCCTCCCCACCAGCTCTCTTGTCCACTTGGTCCAGGAAGCTGACCCAGTGGCGGACCCGGGTGCTGATGGTATCCTCGGGAAGTCCTTTCTCCAGCCTGCCTCCGGTGCCTTGTGCTGCAGCGGGAAACTGGAGTTTTCCCTGGGGGGCAGGGGGGGTGTTCGCCTCTCCCTGATCCATCCCAGGAACTAATAAATGTGCAGACAGCCCTTAAGACGCGTCTCTGGCCCATGGTGGTCCAGGCGCGGGAGGCGGGAGCCCCCGTGCTGGGATCCTGAGTCCTGAAGGTGGGTGGGCTCTGGGCTGGATCCTGAGGGTGGAGGCCCCTTCTCCTGCCTTCTCCCATGAAGCTTCCTCCTGCTCCCCAGTCCCCTCCGCCCAGCCCCCGCAGGTGTGGGAGGCAGCGGAGGCTCCGGACCTCCTTGACTGGATTGGGGGGCGGTTCAGAGGCTGCATTTTGCAGTTGTCTTCCCGGCTCAGAGGCCACCAGGTGGCGCTGCGGGGCTATGTCCCGCTCCGGAGGCCTGGCCGCCCACCCCGCAGCCCGAGGCCGCGGGAGGGGAGGAGTCTTCTCTGCTCTTCCCCACGGTTCCCGAACCGGACCCCTCCTGGACCACTGACCCGCCCCAGCCTGGCCCTCCAGGCGCTGACATACAGCAGTTGTGAGTAAGGCTAGCACTGTCAACTCATGCTTGGTAAACTGTTTTTGCAAGAAATTTGCCTACTTCTTGAACGGGGAGGTCTGATTGGCTGGCACAGAGTTGCTCATAGCACTGCTGTAGTCGTCTCACGCCTGCAGAGTCGGCAGTAATGCCAGCTCTTTATGGCTGATGCTTGTGTCCCTTCTCCCTGTCAGTCTAGCTACAGGTTTATCAATTGTATTTATCTTTTATATTTATCTTTATCAAAGAACAGATTACCTTTTGAGAGTGCTCACTTTGGTACTCTTTTCTATTTTGTGAACCTCTACTTGTATCATTTCCTTCCTTCTACTTAATTCTGAATTAATTTCTTCCTTTTCATTTTCTTCAGGTGGAAACTTAGACCATTCACTTTTGGGGGTAAACATTAGTAACAGCTTAATATCAGACTTTAAAAGTTTTATCTTAGCTTAAATCAGGGGAAATTACTTATTTCTGGATAAACAAAGTTTGACCTTTTGCAACTTCATTACATCCAGTTGGTTGATGACATTGGTCAGTTCTTTTGTATCCTTACTGGTTTTGTTTTGTTTTGTTGATTCTAGTGAGAGGGGTGTTGAAGTCTCCAATTATAATTGTGAATTTGTCTATTATTTTCTTTCAGCTCTATCACTTTTTATTTCCTGTTATTTTAAGGCTTTGTTGTTAAACACATACATTATTTGGAACTGTTAGGTCTTTGGTGAATTGTCTCTTTATGGCTATGCAACTTGTTTAGTCCTAGTAATTTTCCTTGTTCTTAAGTCTTCTTGGTTTGATATTAATGTAGTCATTGCAGCATTTTTTTGATGAAGATTTCATAATATATCTTTCCCTACTCTTTTACTTTAAGCTTACCCATATAATTACATTTATTTTTAAACTATTTACTAGGCTGCACGGGGTCTTAGCTGAGGCCTGAGGGTCTTCATTGCGTCATGCAGGATCTTTCACTGGGACACATGAACTCTCTGGCTGTGGCTCCGAGGCTTCGGAGCACAGGGGCTCAGTAGCTGTGGTGCTCAGCTTCTACGGAGCACGTGGGATCTAGTTCCCTGACCAGGGATTGAATCCGTCCCTGGATTGCAAGGTGGATTCTTAACCACTGGACCACCAGGGAAGTCCCTATATCATCATATTGAAAGTTAAGTTTATTTTCTTTTTAAAAAAAAAATCATTCTGGCAAATTCTTTTAATATGTATGTTTAGATCATTTATATGTAACAACATATAAGCTTACGGTTTGGTATGCCTTTTTCTTTCCTGTTTGTTCCTTTTGTTATCTGTCAGTTTCCCCTTTCCTGCTTTCTTTTGGGTTGTTTCTCAGCTTCCTTTTTAACTCATCTGAGTTTTTGATCATCTCTGTTTCAGTTAAGTTCAGTCGCTCAGTCGTGTCCAACTCTTTGCAACCCCATGGACTGCAACATGCCAGGCTTCCGTGTCCGTCACCAACTCCCAGAGCTTGCTCAAATTCACGTCCATCGAGTCGGTGATGCCATCCAACCCTCTCATCCTCTGTCGTCCCCTTCTCCTGCTTTCAATCTTTCCCAGCATCAGGGTCTTTTCCAATGAGTCAGTTTGCATCAGGTGGCCAAAGTATTGGAGCTTTAGCATTAGTCATTCCAATGAATTCTCTTTGTATAGTCTTTTTTAAAGATTTCTCTTGGGATTACAGGATACATACTTAACTCTTTGCAGTCTACTCAGAATTAATATTTTACCATTTAAATGGGATGTAAGACCTTAATAAAGATTCCTTTCTTCCCCTGACCTCCTTCTTTACATAAACATAAGTAGATATATGTCTCATGACAAAGTGGGTGTTATAGGTGCTATGAGTGCTGAGGTGGGGAGGAGATACAGTTCCTCGGTGAGAGAGAGCGGGAGGGTGGGGCAGAAAGGGGGAGTCAGGTGCCCGCAGTCAGGGCCAGTGCCCAGAGCCTGCATCAGGTGCTGCACAAGGCAGGTCTCATCAGCCCCTCTCCTGACCGAGCCAGTCACTGAGGCTCAGGGAAGGCATTTACCCGGGGCCCAAGGCCTGGTGTTGGGTTCACGTCTCTTCCGTTCCCTGCAGCCTGCTGCGGGCCTGAGGGCAGGGTGACACGTTTCTCTCGCCTCCCAGTCTCCCTTCACGTCCTGTCAGTTCCTCAGCGTCTGAGCCTCGGCCATGCCGTGTCTAGGTACACCTGGGACTCTCCGAGATGCTGACAAGATCTCCGTCTCCCTGGGTCTCAGCCTTCCTGCTCTGAACCTCGCTCGCCAGAGGTCTTTGTTTACTCATAACACAGAAGGCATGAGTTTGAGACAGAGGGAGAAACACAGGGAGAGATGGTGTTGATGACCAGTACACAATACACAACTGTGTGGTGGGGGGTCAGGTTCACATGCCGTAGTCATCAGAAAAACAGAGGGAAGAAGGCTGGTGCCTTGACAGGAACAGAGGAGCAGAGTCTGCCACGTCTGTTACAGACATGGAGCCTGCAAGCGCGACGGGGGCACAGAGCTGAGAGGGAAGGCAGAGAGCTCACGGCCAGCTGCGGCAGTCACGGAGCTGTGGGGCCACGGACAGGGCAGGCTCGGCACACCTTATGGAGGCCGCGGATGCCGGCTTGTCTGGGCACTGGGGCCCTGAAGGAATCGGTGGTTTGTCCTGGAGGGCCCACAGCTGGGGGAGACAGCCACGTAAACGTCTATGAGGATGGCTCAGGGTGGGGCATGGTGACCGCCCGTGGAAAGGCATCAGCCAAGCGTTCAGCAGCCTTCGCTCAGCTCCTCTGGCCCATGTGCTGTGGACACTGAGCGAGACACCGCTCTGCTCCTGAATGCTCAGCGTCCTTGGGGAAGACAGACTCCAAGCTCTGTGAGAAGTAACTATGAGGAACTATGAGGAGGCTCAGGAGGAGTCACCGGGAGGCACTCGGGGAGCAGAGAGCGCGAGTGGGGACACGGGGAAACGTCCTGGAGGAGAGAGAGGAGGGTTCCGGGCGCAGAGGCAAAGGCACATCCGTGGGAGAAAGGACGGCTCCTCCAGGAAGCATGTGTTCTGCAAGGCCGGCGTGTGGGAGGCAGGGCCACAGGAGACGAGACTGAGGGCCCGGCACCAACAACCGTGACTGGCAGCTGATGGGGTCTCAGGTTCATCTCACTGGACAGTGATCTGAATTCATGTTCACTCCACTGCACACACAGCAAAATGAGTGCTCATAAACACATAGGTAACTGGAGAGACAGTCTGATTCCTAAAGCCACGTATGTCTCGGCAAACTTGTAACCCATTCAGGAAGCTTTGCTGTGGAAGGTGATGCAGTGGAGAGCTTCCCACGACTGCAGAGACACAATCAGATTCGGTTTGTGGAAGGAGCCTGCTGGAGGCCCGTGTGGAGAAGGAAACAACCGTGTGTGTGTATGTGGGGATGTGTATGTAAGTGGCATGTGTGTGTGGTGTGTGTGTTGGTTTGTGTGTGGTGTACATGGTGTGGGGTAAATGTGTATGTATACAGTGTGCGTATGTGCTGTGTGTATGTATGTGGGGTGTGTATGTATGTGGGGTGTGTCTCTAGTTTGTGTGGTGTGTGTATGTGGTATATGTGTAGGTGGATGTGTATGTATGTGGTTTGTGTATGTGGTGTGTGTGTCTGAGTGTGTGCACCTGTGTGATGTGAGTGTGTATGTGGTTTGTGGTTTGTGTGTGGTGTGTGTAGGGGGACTGTGTATGTATGTGGTGTGCGTGTGTGGTTTGTGTGGTAAATGTATGTGGTGTGTGTAATGAAGGCAGAAAGGCGTCAGGAAGGAGACCCCCTGCTGGAATCCCAGGGACAGGGGATGTGGGCCCGCAGAAGGTAATGATGGTGAAGATGGAGTAGAGGAGGTTGTAACTAAAACCAACAGGCTGACGACTGGTGGGCCGTGCACAGAGCGGGCAGGGAGAAATGGATGCTGTGCAGCGACAAGAGCGCCCTCAGGACAGGGCAAATGCCAGAGAGGCTGAGGGTCGGAGAGGGCCTCGTGGAAAAGGCAGCTCCCAGGCTGGCCTTGGAGTCAGACTCGGGCAGGTGGAGGGAACGGTGTGTGTGAAGGCACAGGTGGGTGCGGGCAGGCCCCCGATTACACAAGAGAGGGGCAGGCAGGAAGGGCAGCCACGTGGGCGTGTGAAGATGAGCCTCCCGCCCGAGCATCTGGGGGCCCCCGAGTCCTGAGAGCAGCGCGACATGGACTGTCCCGGCTTCAAGAACCAACGCTCCCCCTGGATTCAGCTGTCCTGAGACGGCCCTGAGTGGGGAATGGAGGGCAGCCGGGGTCTTCTGGAAGCTTCGTTGGCTGGCCCGAAGAGCTTCCCTCTGCGTCCCTGAATGAAGCGCTGTCCCCCAGCAGCCCCGGATTCTGCCTGTAAGCACCTTGTTGTTTCGGGGACTCACCAGTCCCCAGTCCAGCTGTCCTGGTTGGTCTGGAATTCGGATTCCTCGCCAGCGCTGCGCCGTGGCGGGACGTGCGCTGTCACTGCAGGACGCTGTCGTGGAGGCGCAGGTGAACCATGAGGACGGAGCTGCAGCTGAAGGCCTTCCCGCAGTCACCGCACCGGTAGGGCTTCTCGCCCGTGTGCACGCGCTTGTGCTCGAGGAGGGAGGAGCTCTGCGTGAAGGCCTTGGGGCACGCCCGGCACTGGTAGGGCTTCTCTCTGGAGTGCACCTGTGCGAGTAGTGACTGGAGGCGCGGCCGCAGGCGCTGCACTCGTAGGGCTTCTCACCGGTGTGCACGCGCCGGTGCTGGGTCAGATGTGTGCTCTGGCTAAAGGCCTTGCCGCACGCGTCACGCGTAGGGCCGCTCGCCCGAGTGCGTCCGCCGGTGCTGACTGAGGTGGGAGCTGCGGCGGAAGGTCTTGCCGCACTTGGCGCAGGCATAGGGCTTCTCGCCGGTGTGCACCCTCCGGGCTGGCTCAGGTGGGTGAGCCGGCCGAAGGCCTTGCCGCACTCCGTGCACGCGTGGGGCTTGGCCCCCGTGTGCACCACCCGGTGCTGGGCCAGGTGCGCGCTCCGACCGAAGGCTTTCCCGCACTCGCTGCAGGTGTAGGGTGTCTTGCCGGCGCGGGTCTTCTGGTGGGCCACCGAGGGGCTCCGGAGGGTCTTCCCCCACTCTCCACACATGGGGGGCTTCCTTCCAGAGCACATGCCTGGAGGCTCTGTCCCACAGCCATCCGGTGGATCCCATCTCTCCTCGGAAGGAGTCTTCTCTCAGGAGGTGGGGTCTGGCCGAACGTGGGGGCTGTCCCCCAAGGCACCAGCTTCACAGCTGGGCTGGGCTGGGGGAGCGTCCTTGTGAGGCCTTGAAGTTTTCCTGAAATCCATCTGGTGGGCGGCAGACTGGGCCCACATTTCCCCTGAGAGTCTGGCCTGCCTCTCTGGGCCGCCCTTGGGTTCACCGTCATCACCAAAGGCGGGTCCTGGGGGAGTACCTCCTCCCAGGGTTTCAGTGGCCCTATCCCAGGGCCCGGACTCCTCCGAACCGCTCTGCTTACAGCTGGTGTCTGTGAGCTCAGATCACAGCGCCCAGCCTGCAACAGTTCCAACCACAGTCACTGCTTTTCCATACCAGGCCTCCCCCACTCTGCCGAGCCCTGGCCACACTCTGAAAGGGAAGGTGTGGGCCACTCCTGACATGTGGTCCTGTTTCCAAAGAAAAGTTTCTCACTTGGTGTCTTGGATGACAAAAGGGCACAGGGCTGTTCTCCGACACCATCAACCACCTGCGTCACACAAACAGACGGCGAGTGGGCTTGTGAAAAGGTGCTCATCATCACTAATTACGAGAGAAATGCAAATCAGAAGTGAGATACCACTTCATGCTGCTCAGAATGGCCATCATCAAAAAAGTCTACAAATAATAAATGTTGGAGAGGGTGTGTAGCGGGAATGTAGATTGACTCGGCCACTATGGAGAACAGTACCGCAGTTCCTCAAAACACTAAAAAATAGTGTTGCCATATGACCCAGCAATCCCACTCTTAAGTATATATCCAGACAAAACTCTAATTTGAGAAGGCACCCCTGTGTTCACATTGTGTTTACAATAGCCAAGACATGGAAGCTACCTAAATGTCCACTGGAAGATGAATGGATAAAGAAGATGTGGTATATATACACAATGGAATATTACTCAGCCATGAAAAGAATGAAATAATGCCATCTGGAGCAACATGGATGGGACTAGAGATTATCATACAAAGTGAAGTAAGTCAGAAAGAGAAAAATAAGTATCACATGGTATCACTTATATGTTGAATCTAAAATATGACATAGGGACTTCCCTGGTGGTCCAGGGGTTAAGACTCCCTGGTCCCACTGCAGGGGGCATGGGTTCAATCCCTGGTCAGGGCACTGAGATCCTGCATGGCACATGTCACAGCCAAAAAGAACCTGACAGAAATGAACTTATTTATGAGACAGAAACAGACTCACAGACATAGAGAAGAGACTTGTGGTGGCCACGGGGGCGGAGGGGTAGGGATGGATTGAGTTCGGGGTTAGCAGATGCCAACTAGTGTATATGGGATGGATAAACAATGAGGTCCTGCTGTACAGCACAGGGAAGTATATTCAAGAGCCTTGAATAAAACATCACGGAAAAGAAAATGAAAAAGAATGTATATGTGTGTATATCTGAATCGTTTTGCTATACAGCAGAAATTAACACAGCATTGTAAACCAATATATTAAAAAACCCTGTGTCGCAGGTTTCTAGTCATCCCTCACTCACTACCTCTCAAACCCTCCATTCTTTAAGGCTCCTGATTTTGTCTCAAATATCAGAAGGAAATCCCCGGGGTGGAACTGATCTGAGAGAGTCAGGCACCTGAGGACAGGCTTCCGGGGCCAGCTTGAGCTCCATCCCACTGCCTGATTCCCTGCCGCTTGGACCTGGATGAGTCTGCAGAGGCTCAGTAAATACCGGTTGGACGAGGGAATCAATCCAGGCTGCAGGAGACTTGCCCTTGAAGCCCAGGCAGACACCTGGGGCTGTGGGTGGTGGGCAATGCCCACCTGGCCTCCCTGAGCCACCTGGGCACCCAAGGCCCGCTCTTCATAATCTGCTGGGAAGGCAGCGCACACCTAAGGGGCAGCTGCAAGCTGGCCTGTGTACGGGGTAGGAGCGTGCCTGAACTGCCCTGCTCTTGACGCGTGCGTATGGCACCCGAGGATGCTTGACTGGGCCTTGTTTACTGAACAGATTCCAGGACGGGGGTGGCTGGAATAAGTGTCGGTTAGGTCCACAGTAGGGTTCTAGCTCTGCCACTGGCCAGCTCCAAGGGTTGGGCAGTCTTGCCCTCATTTGGGCCTCAGTTTCCTCATCTGGAAGACGGGATACAGCTTGCCTCCCAGGGCTGCTGGCTGTCATCAGGCTCTTGTTCCACGCTAGGCTGCAACTACGGTGGGTACCTTCCATTGCCTCATGTAAGCTTCATTCTGCTCTCAGAAAGAGGCTCTTTGACCACTGTGTTCCAGAAAGGAAACGCACGCCCAGCTGAGGGGAGGTCTTGAGTAACTGGTACAAGACCACATGATTAACTCATAGAGGTTGAGTAACTTTTATAAGATCACATAGCTAGCTAGTGGCCAAGTTGGGATTTCAGCTCTAGAATCTTCTTTCCTCCTCTAAGCCCACTATACGTGCGTGCTAAGTTGCTTCACTCCTGTACAACTGTTTTGCAACCCTATGGACTGTAGCCCATCAGGTTCCTCTGTCCATGGGATTATTCCAGGCAAGAATACTGGAGTGGCTAGCCATGCCATCCTCCTGGGGATCTTCCCAACTCAGGGACAGAACCCGTGTCTCTTACTTTTCCTGCTTTGGCAGGTGAGTTCTTTACCACTAGTGCCACCTGGGAAATCCCTAAGCCCACTGGTGTTCTACTAATTCCCCCAACCCCTCCAGCCTTACCCTTTTTTCCCTCTATTCCAGAAACACTGCACCACCTGCTCTTCCTAGAATGCAACAGTCCATATCGTACCACAGGGTCTCTGCCTCCCACCAGCCCTCTGCCTGGACTGCGGTTCTCTTCTGCTGTTTCAGAGCCATTTTGAGACTCTCCTGACCCTACAGGAGGATGTGGCCTCACACAGCCAGGAGGCAGCAGAGCAGGGGTTGGATGTACCAAGCCTCGAGGATTCTCTGAGTTCAAACTCCATGCTCTCCCTGCCCACGGCCCCTGCCCTGGTTCCTGGCATGCCCACCCCACCAAATGCTACCATCAAGCGGGGCCAGGCCCTTCTGGGACAGAGTTTTCACTCCCTGCCCTGGACTGTCTCAGGACTGGGTCCTCCTGGCGTCCCATGAGACCTCCCTGGGCTGCAACATCTGAGTGGGTCTCTGAGCGGCGGGGTCCCCCCTCTGACCTGGGGCGGTCTGTCTCACCTAGACCCTGGAGGTCAGCACAGGGAGCACTCCAAAGCAGAGCAGCCGGACACATGGCATTTCTGCCCCCTCCTCCAGCCCAGGGGTCCAGCCCCCTCGTCTGGTAGCAGCCTCATGGTCCCTCTCTGGGGAACTGCGCTTGCTTACATCAGTCCCTGGGGCTTTGGTCAGCCAAACACAAGCACAAACCCCAACCACTTTAGTGAGGCTCAGCTTGGGGATCCCTCACTGTTGTACCTATGTGGTTTCCATATGGATAAGACACAAGCATGAGACTGCTGGACCAACTATGTCTTAGGTAGCTTAAGAAGCTACTTAAGAATGAAGCTAACATAGGAAAACTCAACCGAGAAAGAAAAGTCCTGAGGATATCACCTGAGCTCCTCATACACAGCCATGAAACCTCCCTCCTTGGCTTCTGTCAGTTGGGGCTTGGCTTTTGGTCATTGGCAATCAAAACAGAACTGCTTACCGAAGCATGTGAGGGTTTCGATGAGAGACCCCAAGTCCAGATCTGCACCCTCACATTCCAGCCCAGGCTCCGCCCCCAGTGCGCTGTGAGCACCTGCAGTCGCCCCCTTACCTCTCTTGTCCAGTGCCCGAGTCAGATCCTCCACCAGCACAGCGGCCTTCTCGCCACTCTTGGGGCACTGAGCGCCCACCCAAGACTGGACCTCGGGGGGCAGCACACTCAGGAACTGCTCCAGCACCAGCAGCTCCAGCAGCTCCTTCTTGGAGTGTGCCTCAGGCTGCAGCCACTGGCGGCAGAGCTCCCGGAGCTGGGCCAGCACCTCTCGAGGGCTGGACGCCTCCTTAAAGCAGAAGTGCCAGAAGCGCAGATGTGCAGCCTCGGGGTGGATGGTGTGGCCAAAGCTAGATTCCTGGACCTGGAAGAGGCTGGCCTCCTCCTCTTCCATCTTCACCCGGAGAAAGCCATCCTGTTCCCAGGGCACTGGGCTCAGGCAGCTCTCGGGCATGGCCATTGGGTAGCAGACCTTCAGTGAGACACAGGATGGCTGGAGCCTTGGAACTGGGTCTGCAGGAAGATCAAAATTTGGTCATCCCATGACCTTGGGTGCTGCCTCAACACAGATGATCAAAATATTCAGGACAATGCCCACTGGGTGCTGAGAACTTTTCTAAATGCTTGCAGAGAGTAATTTGTTCAAAACTCACAACAAACTCAGGAGGTAGAAGCTTTCTTTCCATTTTATGGGTATGAAAATAGACAGAAAAGAAAGATCCACCCAAAGTTTCCCAGACAGTGAAAGGGAGGGCAGTTGCTGAGCTGCAAACTCCTGCAGCCTGACCCCTCAGACAGTCTGCTTAAGGCATACGCTCCTTTCATATGTGGAAGGTCTGTCTCCTACCTCACACAACCCCAGTCCCCAGGGAGCCACAGGAGCATTCCCTTACTTTATTTGCTAATTATTTTGCAGCTTCTGAGATTAATACTTAGATAACTGACATTCAGTCTTTCTTTGCTAGTATATGTATTTCAAGCTATAAAGTTCCCTATAAACATAGCTTTAGCTGTACACTCATAAGTTTGGTTTTGCATCTTCATTATCATTTAGTTAAAAATACTTTCTAATTTTTTCTTGTGGTTTCTTCCTGAGCCATGGGCAGCTTAGAACTCTGCTGCTTCATTTCCAAACAATCCAGAGTTTTCTAAGTGTCTTTTTATTACTAATTTCCAGATTAACTCTGGTGTGCTCAGAAAATGTGTTTGGTCAATTTTCATCCTTTGATATGTGCTGAGACTTGGTTTGTGACCAGGTGTGTGGTTAATTGTGGTCAATGCTCCACATACACTTAAAAATAATGCAAAGCCATGTTAGGTAAGTGACAAAAGAGAAAACAGATAAACTGGATTTCATCAAAATTAAAAACCTTTGCTATATGAAAGACATCAAGAAAGTGAAAAGGGGAATTCCCTGGCGGTCCAGGACTCGGTGCCTTCACTGCCCGGGCAGGGGTTCAATCCATGGTCGGGGAACTAAGATCCTACAAGCCATGCAGCAGGGCAAAAAAAAGAAAACGAAAAGGCAACCCCAGAATGGGAGAAAATATCTGCAAATCATATATCTTGATTAGGGACCTGTACCTAGAACAACTCCATAATAAAAAGATAAATAGTCCAAAATTAAAGAATGGGCAAGTGATTTGACCAGACATTTCTCCAAAGACATACAAGTGGTTAAGAAGCACATGCTGCTGCTGCTGCTTAGTCGCTTCAGTCATGTCCAACTCTGTGTGACCCCCATAGACGGCAGCCCACCAGGCTCCCCCATCCCTGGAATTCTCCAGGCAAGAACACTGGGGTGGGTTGCCATTTCCTTCTCCAATGCATGAAAGTGAAAAGTGAAAGTGAAGTCACTCAGTCATGTCCGACTCTTAGTGACCCCATGGACTACAGCCTACCAGGCTCCTCCATCTATGGGAGTTTCCAGGCAAGAGTACTGGAGTGGGTTGCCAGTTCCTTCTCCAAAAAAAGCACATGAAAAGAAGCTCAACATTATCAGCTACCAGAAAAGTACAAATCAAAACCAAAATGAGATACCATTTTACACCTGCTAGGATCTAATACTCAAAATGACAGATAACAACTGTTGACACTTAAGAAATGACCGTGGGCACAGGGAGAATTAGACATTAATAAAACAGGACCTCAATCCTGACACTTTTCAGTGGCAGCTGGTGATTTCTGGCAAAGCTATGCTTAGCCCTAACTCCACTTGTTCTAAAGTCCCCCTTAGTCCTCCAGGACCCACTTTAGCTGTTGTCTTCTCCAAGAGCCAGGCCAGCACCTGGGAGCAGGCTAAGTAGTCCCCTGTGTGCCCGGGGCTCTGTGCTCTAACCATGCTTCCCCAGAGAGACTGAGCATACTGGAGACACAGTGCCCACAGCAAGTGCACAGGTAACAGGTGCTGAAAATGGAGGGACCAGGAAAGGTGGAATCTGATACAGGGAATCATTGCTGGGCGGGGGAGCGGTTGGTGCGCAGAGCAGGCAGGATTAACAATACATGCAGTGACAATTTCCAACCTCCCTTTTGTATCCCTGAAACCACTTTAGGAAAATCCCTGATGACAGTATGAGATATATTGACACAGATCATGCTTAATCCACCTCCAACTTCCTGACCTCACATACGGTTGAGAGCCTCTGTCCACAACTGCTTAACCAACTTAGGGGAGCAGTTTTTTCACTTCTTGTAATTACGTTATTAGTACTTATTAGTACCTGGCCTGACAACAGGCCTGGCACACAGCAGACACACAGTAGATGCACAATCTGATGACTCCATAGCCATCTGCTGGATTTAAATCCATTGAAGGTGCTAGGAGATCATCCCAGCTGGGTGACTGCAAGTCACAGAATTTCAGCTGCAGATATGGCCAAGTGCAAACTCTGTCACATGCCTGGTAAATTCCCAAGCAAATCATCCAAGCATAGTCCCCCTAACAAAATCCCAGTCAACCCCATAGTTATATGCATATGCCCTACCTCTGGCAGAGTCCCTCAGTCGTACCCCAAAATATGCCCGGGGACCCAAACATTCCTAGTCAATCACAGTCAAATAAACACACGCCCTCACACCATCATTCCCACAGTTAGTCATAATCAACCTGCTTCAGCCAGTCAGATACACACTCTCAGTCACGCCTAAATTTATACAGTCAGACACACCCTCTCACTCACAGCAGCACACAACCCAAAGACAAATTCTCAAGCAACTTCTTGGTCAGTTGCACACTTGATCGGGTCAGTCAGACATCCTATCAGCTATCCATGTGCTCCTAGTTTGTCAGTCAGAAACACTAGTCAAGACGAGTCAGACACGAACAACTGGTCAATCAGCCTTCATCGCAGTCAGCTGGCCCCGCACTTGACCATTGAGTTCCACACTGCGTCTTTCCGTCCGTCGGTCCACGCGCGGCTCGGGGTCAGCCTCTCGCTCCCCATTCGCGCATGCCGGTCCCCTACATCTCGTTCAGTCCACCGCAGGCGTTCGCGACTTCAGGACCTCCGGTAGTTCCCCTCCAGCCGCAACCAGGGCGGGACCCCAACCCGACCCACCTCACCCGCCAGCGGGCGCACGCTTCCGGGAGGCGACGGGGAGGCGCTGCAGTGAGGAGCTCAAGCGTTCGAGCCGGGACCACAGCTCCTGGACTACAATTCCCAGAAGGCGCTACGTCGCCCGCCCCAGCAGCCCGGGGAACGCCGGGAGTTGTAGTCCAACTGGGTTCGTGATCCGAGGGAACAGCGGACGTGACTCTGTGGGGCAGTGGTGGCGGTGTGTGCATGGTCCGGCCCAAGAGTGTGCGGAAGGCGGAAAAGTGCATGGTGTGAGAGGTGTGTGTGAGGAGGTGAGGGGTGGGTGAGAAGATGACCGGTGTGAGGGCCGGGGTGTGGATGCAGGGCGGAGGGTATGTATCTTGTATGTAGTGCCTGTGGTCCTCTGTGACCATGTGGTCACAGTGCCTCTATACTTGGTTCGCTTTCCGTTTTCTTTCTCCTTTGAGATGTTTTAACGTTTTTTGGAGCTGTAATTCACGTCCCTTTGGTTCACCCTTCTACGTACAATTCAGTGGTTTTTAGTTTTTTTTACAAGCCTGTGGAACGATCACCACTTTTATCATCCCCCAAAGAATCCCCATACCTATTGGCAGTCACTCTCTATTCCCGCTGCCCCAGCCCTGGACACCCACTCATCTGCCTCTGTAGATGTGTGTTCTGTATATTTTGTGTAAATGGTCCCTTTGCATTTCCTGACCACTGGTAGGCACACCAGGGACACTGTAATCCAAGGCATCCTTCACTTGACCCAACCAAGACCCACATCACCTATCAAGTGCTGGGCTTTGGCCTGTGGGTGGCACTGGTGGCCTTCACATATCTGGGTCTACTTGGCCTTCCTGTGGTCTTCTGTCCCACCTCTGTTTGCAAAGGCACAGCCCCAATAATCATAACAATAAACCATGTCCGCACTGAGCTCCATTTGCACACCAGGCACTTACTGACCGTGGTCAGTTCATCCAGATTGCCAACTCCGCCCGTGACCATCTCCCTTTTTGCACCAACAGGAGGCTTTCTCTTTGGCAGCTCCTGCTTCCCACCCTTCAGCCCTGCCCTCTCCGCCAAGTCCAACTTCACACCACTGATGTCTCATGGTACTTCCCTTTTTACCTCCCTGCCTCCAAGCTAAACTTGCCTCTCACCAGTAAAAGGAACCCGATTTTCCTGGTTCCTGTTTTATCACTTCTATGAACCGTCATGCCCTTTTTCCTATTTCACACTTGGGTGGAGTTAGCTGTTACCTTCGTCTGGCTCCTGTCTAGAGAGGCTCTATTTGTTTCCTATTGCTACTGTAATCACAGCATGCAGTGGCTCATAACAACAAAATCTATTACATTTCTGGAGGTCAGAAGCCCCAGATGGGTCTCACTGGGCTAAAACCACCATGTTGGCAGGGCTGGTTTCCTCTAGAGGCCATAAGGAAGAAATCCATTTCATTGTCTCCTCCACCTTCCAGAGGCTACCTGCATTTCTTGTTCTGTGTCCCTGTCTTTGCTTCATCACATCTTCTCTGACTCTAGCCTATTTCCTGCATCTCTTCTTCACTTATGCAGACCCATGTGATTACACTGGACTCACCTGTAATCCAGGATACTCTCCCCTTCTATGAATCTGCCTTCAGTGCAGTAGATGCAGGAGACATGGGTTTGATCCTTGAGGCAAGAAGATCCCCTGGAGGAAGAAATGGCAACCTGCTCCAGTGTTCTTGCCAGGAAAATCCCATGGACGGAGGAGCCTGGCGGGCTATATGTCCATGGGGTTGCAAAGAGTCGGACATGGCTCAGCACGTACCCACACACTCATCCCTCTATTCAGCTGATCGTGATGAGCTTTGCATCTCCATGTCCTCGTGTGTGTTGTGCTTAGTCATTTCAGTCGTGTCTGACTCTTTGCAACCTCATGGACTATAGCCCGCTAGGCTCCTCTGTCCATGGGATTCTCCAGGTGAGAGTACTGGAGTGGGTTGCCATTTCCTCCTCCAGGGGATCTTCCCGACCCAGTGATCAAACCAGCGTCTCTTGCATCTCCAGGCGTTTTTTTGTTTTTGTTTTTTTACGACTGCCACCTGGGAAGCTCCATGTCTAGTGAGTGGGAAGAAAAGTTGTGTCCACTTAGATATAGACAAACACTTAAGCTCACAGAGACATAGAGACCTACATAAAGACACACAGACACACAAATACACAACTAGCATCCAGGATATATAAAGAACTCTTACAATGGCAACAACAACAAAGCCCCTAAATAACCCAGTTTAAAAGTGGGGAAGGAATCCCCTAGCAGGCCAGTGGTTAGCACTTTGAGTTTCCACTGCTGGGGTGGAGGCAGGGAGCAGGGTTAGAACCCTGGTTGGGAAACTAAGATCTTGCAAGCCACCCAATGCAGCCAAATAAATATAATACAAATGGGTAAAGAAAACATGCAAAATGATGCTCAACACCCTTTGTATTCAGGGAAATGCAAATCAAAGCCACAATGTGATGCCACTTCACATCCACGAGGATGGCTGCCAACAGAAAGAAGTGTTGGTGAGGATGTGGAGAGACAGGAAAACTCATACGTGGCTGGTGGAGATGTAAAATGATGCAGCCCTATGGAAAACAGGTTAGCAGTTCCATAAAAAGTTAAACATAGTTATCTCATGACCCAGAAAACAGGTTAGCAGTTCCACAAAAAGTTAAACATAGTTATCTCATGACCCAGAAATTCCGGGGCTTCACAGGTGGCACAGTGGTACAGTGGTAAAGAACCCACCTGCCAATGCAGGAGATGCAAGAGATGAGTTCAATACCTGATCAATAAGTTCACCTGGAGTAGCAAATGACAACTTGCCCCAATATTCTTGACTGGAAAATTCCACGGACAGAGAAGCCTGGTGGGCTACAGTCCATGGGGTCACAAAGAGTCAGACATGACTGAGTGACTGAGTACATACACACCACCAATTCCAAGAGAAATGAAAGCACAAAATATTATACAGAAATATTCACAGTAACACTGTTCATGCTTTTTCCGTGTATGATTCAGGAGTCTGGACTCGCTGAAATTATTCCTTAGTTAGGTATCTGAAGTATCCAGGGCTAGTATCCAAAGCAGAGTGCTTCCTGTTTTTCTCCATCCAGAATTCCCTTCAGGGCACACCACCTGGAAGCAGCTGCACTGACTAGAGCTGATGCTGTGGACAGGAAACCAGAACAAGCTGGGCTGACCGAGGAGCAGGAAGGAGACAGGCTCCCCATGGAATGATGAGACATGAGCCGGGAAAGGCGGGCCACAGCGGGGAGAGCAGGGGCTTCGAGGTTGGCTTGAGGTCAGAACATAGCTTGGTGGCCACAGGGAAGCCCCGAGGAAAGCTGTGCAGGAGTGAAGGGCACATGCTTATGACGGAAACACGTGTGGCTCTCAGTAGGCATTTCATCAACATCCGGATGGAACAAGGGCCGCCTGTTCCCACACTGCCTTTGCTTCCAGTTTGTCAAATGGCTCAACTGCTTCTTCAGGTGGGACCCAGGCCTCGTGTCATCTCCCAGTTCTCAGGGCGGTTTATATTCCAGCACCACAGGGAATGCATCTGGCTGTCTGCTTAGTTGCTCTGCGGCCTTTGGGATCTTCCCAGATCAGGGATCAAACTCGTGTCTGCTGCACTGACAGGCGGGTTCTTTACCACTGAGCCACCAGGGAATCCCAGAAAATATTTTCATTGAGAAAAGCCATGCACACAAAAAAAGCACATATTGTATGGCCCCATTTACAGGAAAGGTACACAACAGAAAGTAGATAAACATTTTCCAGGGGCTGCGGGATAAATGAGCAGGGAGTGAGGGCTATGGGGTTCAGGGCATAGACCCACCCGCCCGAGGGCACACCTGCATCCACAGGTGGTGTCACGCAAGCAGGGTCGCACCTGCCAGCACAGCACAGCTGGCTTCCCCGCCCCCTGGCACGCCCAATGCCCCCTTCTCTCTCCCCAGTCCCACAGCCTTGCCACCGAGCCTCCTTGGGCGCCACCGAGTGCACACACAGGCCTCCCGTTTCTCACACTGGCACCGTCGCCCCGCTGGGACCACAGACTCAGGAGGGTTGTTGGGCGCCTCCACTGCCTGGAGTGGACTCACCAAGGGCACTTCCGGCCAGCGCCCGGGGGTCTAGGCACTCCGTCTCCCAACGGGCCTCACGCGTGTGCTGGGTGCCTGGAATTGGGGGTACACAGGGCGAGTGGCCTTCTGGGAATGAAGTCCAAGGGGATCGCCCAGCAAAGAGCATGGGAACTTGTCAGTCGCTCTGCAGAAGTTGGAGGACCTGACATACATAGCTTTTTGTGTCCTTTTATTTATTTTTGTCCTCTGAGGCATTTTATTTGTATGTATTACATCCCTAGAAAAGGAATACAAGGATTTTCCCCTCCTGTGTGTTTTCGTCTTGCTTCTTCATGGTCTATGATGCCAGCTGAGGCTGTCAGTACAATGAAACCAATGCACATCAAACCTCGGGCTGATCACTCCACACTTATTTATTCAGCCTGCCAGTGAAGTTCACAACAATTTTGCCAGCCCTGTGATGACCAATGATTTCAAGTTCGCCAATGTAATCATGCTTCATTATCACAATTAGAAACCTGATGACGACTTTGGAGCACAGTCTAATTAGCAATGGGCATTTACCTCTTTTCCGCATTGTTGATACTTTTGAGAGTATCAGCCAGGACATTCATGTGCACCATTCTGGCAGCACAGAAAGATGGCAGAAGGGTGGGAAGGGCAAGCGTGTGGCATTGTGTCCTTTTAGCTATGCTGCCTGTATACACTTTTCCTCTTCCTCTTGGCACATATACAAGTATTAATGAAAGGAATGTTCATGTATTGAGGTATGGGGAAGTCATTCTGGCTTTTAATGATTTATCTTGATTTTTATGCTAACTAAAACAGCCCATTTACAGCCTGTTATACACACACTGTCTGCTTTAATCACTAAAGAAAAGAAAAGGTGCACTGACCAGAACTAATGTCCATGTTAAAAATAAAGATTAGGAGAAGGAAATGGCAACCCACTCCAGTATTCTTGCCTGGAAAAGTCTACAGAGGAGCCTGGTGGGCTGTAGTCCATGGGGTTACAT